CAGCGCAAAAAACACTCTTCGCTCTGAAATGTATTTAAAGCCACAACAAAATCTTCTACCCCGTTCCACAAATCTATCTAATAAAGATATAAAACACTGAACATGCAATTATGAAACGTTTTAGGTGAATTACATCTTTAAACAACAAGGTGTAAAAGGCCCAGTAATCTTGACACACAGATACGTTTAGAGATGGCTTCAGATTGTCTCTGTAGTGTTTCAGGGAGAGTTTTTGCTGTTAGCTCCATGAGGGGCAGACACATTGGTAAGCTTTTGATTTGGTGGTGTGAACAGAGGTGTTAGAGATCCTTCCAAAACAGCAATTTTGCCACCAATTACTTCTGCCGTTAGTGAGGCGGCTTTACAAAATCATAAACTCTGCCCAAAGTACGCAAGCTAAATCGTAGGGACACTTGTCCATTTAGAGGAAAAGAAGAAAAGGCGATCATGAAATATAGAGAAGAAAGCGGAAGTGTTTGGTTTTTTGATATTGAAGGTAAAATTCTTAATGATGTTAACACTACTATCACGGATATATCTTGAGCACTTGATTACTGGAGGCCATTCAGGCGCCTCCAATTCCGATATCCAATTAAAGGCTCCACAACAACTCCTAATAAGTGGGGCATGGAGTTGATAAGCAACCAATTCTGAAGCGTCAGGCCCTCTGCTTCATTAGCAGGATGTTGAGCTTAAACAGAACATTCAACACACAGGACATCAAAGTGCCCACTCTGCAAAATGAGTTGCAAACTCCCTATTAGATATGCACCAATCTCCTAGGATACAGCAGACATACACAATGATCACACAGCAAAATTGTTGTCTGTATAATGCTCTTGAATAATGCTATTGAATAATGCTCTACTCAATTACTGCTCACCAGAAAGGCAGGTGTTGGTTTGCACCGCGAGATGAGAAAGAACAGAAGGAGCGATGAAGGAGGCAGAGGAGGAGTGGAACCAAGACTTCAAGTAGAAAAAAAGTAGCGCTTCTCAATATGAAAACATCAAAGTGTCTGAAAATGTGTTATACTTCATGGGACATAATCATGCGTGGATAGTAGAAAAAATAACTTGCAGCATATGTGAGGGGTAGCAGGTTTTTAAGCTGCACTGAAGGCATTTTTTCCTAAATTTGCCGAGGTAGGAGGGAGGCATGGAGCAGTCCGGTGCAAAGCTGCAGCGGGGTTCCTGCCAGTTCATCGCTGTCGCAGCCCACACATTCGCTTGATACAATCGCAGTGACACCAAATGCCATGAGAATGTCAAACTCAGTGTTTAAAGAGACAACCAGCACAGAGGAAGAATCACAAACAAGCACCGCAACAACAAAGGATATATGCTGTGGAAAAATCTACATCTGTGTCGAAATGCAAATAGGGTTGTCAAGATGGGCAGAATAAACAAAGATGTCCCTCATGAGATATTTGTATAAAAACTATTTTGATCTTTATGAATAACAGCAGCAGATTTCTTTTTTAGAAGAAGATTCAGATCAGCCCTTCAAGTTTGACATTTTGGGCAGTACATTTATTTGCTTTCTTGCCAAAAGTTAGATGGGAAGATTAATATTATGTCTGTATCTAGCTGAAAACTCCAGGTTTCAAAAATTGTAAATGGACTGAATTTATAATGTGATTTTCCAGTCTTTACAAACTCAGTAAAGCACTTCTTCATAAACAAATTCACAAACAATTGTACAGAATAGAAGCTGCCATTTAAGGTGCCACCTCAGCTCAGGGAAGCTTACATTTACACATCATTGGCCATGTCATCAGGAGCAATTTGGGGTTAAGTATCTTTCCCAAGGATACACCGACAAGTTGAATGTAAAGGCTTGGTAACCAATCACTCTACCAGCTTTAGAGTGAAGCCATTATAATATACAGCAGGATCGACTCCTCAATGCCAACAAATATCCTGTTATATAGAAGTCTATTGGAAAATGACTCCAATTCTTGTTTGATGAATTGCTTTAAATCCTCAGAGGATAATGGTCTCAATCGCTATGGTCTCAAGGATTTTTAAATACAGCATGATATTCATTGGAAAATAATTGTCACGATCTGTCTATGTTTTATTTTGTCCTGTCTAGATCTATCTTTGTTTTCCTGTTTTAGTTTGAAAAGTGTTCACCCCCAGTCTTGTCTGTTGCTTCCTGTCTCTGTGTTCCCTCCTGCCTGATTACCCAATTGTGTTCACCTTGTGCCCCTGTGTTTTCTCCTCCCTCCTCACCTGCGTGTTGTTTGTTTGATTAGTCCTGTGTGCAACTGCATTTAGGTTCTGCTTTTTCTGTTAGTCTTTGTGAGATTCTTGATGTTGCTGGAAGGATTTTGTTCTGAGGGATTTTTACATTTTGCCTTGCCTTATTTGACTTTGTTGCCTGGCCTAGTTCCGCAATAAAAGTATTTTGGATTTCAACCAATCTTCTGCATTTGGGTCCTGTGTACCTTGCCCTCCAGCCGTGACAATAATGGTCCCATCTAGAGTGAAATAGACAGTAAAGTATGCATTATGGCGGGGCTACATTGATTTTAACAGGCAGGTGTTTGGTCTTTTAACTTTGAACCATCACATGTGTTCAATTCATGCAAGTTAGTTGAAGCAGCGTTCGAGGGTACTTAGCTCTACCCTCTTCAGTCAAATACCAAAAATGCGGCCCGATGATCCGTATGATTACTATAAAGCATGCCAGAAGCAACCTCTTTTCACTTTTTATACTAAGCTAGGCTGTTATGGCAGTCAATGCAACTAGTGCTCAGCACAGTCTGGCTGTGTCCCATTCTTCAATGGCCTGTGTTCATCTTTTTGTTATCATGCTTTCATAACTTATTTTCATTCTAGGTTTTGCCCCTTGAACCCCTCTGAAGTCTGAGAGCTTAACACATTGTTTGACTTGTTTAAAACCTGACAACACTTTTGTATTTTGTATTTCTTGACTGTTGAAACACTGACATTGGTTGGGGCCCAACATAATGATTACTGGTTCTGACTACACGATGATTCATTGCTATCAGACTCTAAATCACTATTAATAATTGTTAAAAACTTTTTACATGAACTTCAAAAGGATCTATAAATATAATCTCCGATCTACAGTAAGACTGTTGAATATAAACCTCCCAATGCAGACTGAAGAAAAGGTTATATTTAGAAAGAAGGGGAGGAAGAGCAGCAGCTGTGATGTAAGATATCTGAAAATGGAAACTGCTCCCAGGGGTGACAGCGCTTATTCTATCCACCTTAATTATTTATTTTCCCTTTAATAGACCGCCGACGACAGCATTTTCAGGGCAAAGATCACGCTGCATGAGGACTGCTGACGTCCTGTTGCTCCCAGTGCTAATGAATGTGTCCAAACCATTGAGCCTTGGCTTTGTCTGTGCCGCCGCGTCCATCATCTCTCTGTGGACAGCAGCTCTGTCCATGATACAGGTAATATCCATCCATCTTCTCTCGCTTATCCGTGGTCGGGTCGCGGGGGTAGCAGTTCCAGCAGAGAGCCCCAAACTTTCTTTTCCCTGGCGAGTCGCGACATCAACCAACTCTGACTGGGGGATCCCAAGGCTCTCCCAGGCCAGCAAAGAGATATAATCCCTCCACCTGGTCCTAGGTCTACCCCTTGGTCTCTTCCCAGCTGGACGTGCCTGAAACACCTCCCTAGGGAGGCGCCCAGGTGGCATCCTAATTAGGTGCCCGAAGGAAAAAAAAACTACATTCTACAAAATTATAATAACTGTAGCACATTAGGTTATCTTTACCCAAAAGCATAGGTACAACCAAACAATTACAGGTAACTTCAGTTCTGCACTTTGAAAGATGTAGCAACAATATTTGACATGTAAAGTATCACAAATATTCCATTACAAATCAAGACTGTTGCTAATTTATATTGCAATGTATCTTGGATAGTAGGAACCCATTATTTTGCCTTGGATGACAACTGTATGTGCTGCTTTATAAAACCACTTTCTCCATGTGCCTGGTAAACAACATATCCCCGGGGGCTGAGAAGGCAATCACAGGTGAGAAATCACTGGCAGCATTGACGACTGCAGTCCTGATACGTCAAGTGTTTGGATGGGTCATGAAGTGATTAGTTCCAGTCTCAGAGGAAAAGAGCAGGGGTCAGAGGACTAATGATTGAACCTGGTGGTGGCTGCTTACATGTGCAAGTGAAAAAAAAAACAGGCACAATCTAAAAAGTATTTGAGTAAATGCCACAAAAGCCTGGCGGTCCACGGTGGAATGTTATGTGTCTGATTTACCTGTTCTTTGCAGGGCTGAGAACGTCACTGTTCTCATTAGAAACTGCTTCTGTGCTGTCTCATAGCAACCTAAAAATAGAAATGTCCCTATTAGGCTGTATAGCTGTGATGGCTGCTGCAAGTTTTGGCCTCTTTAATTGTGCAATAAATATATAGGTGTGAAATATTTGTGCTCCATCTCTTCGTTTATTGAGCAGTGAAACAAGCCAATCCGAGAGACATTGGTTGGAGATATGCATAAATAAACCCTAATTATTATTGATGTTATATCATATTTATCACTGCTTATAAGAAATCTAACAATATATCTGGTTTAAGAAGCCCATACGTGTTACATATTGGCATTTCCTTCAGGAAGCAGTGTGATGTGGATCAAGAACAGATTCCTGCTTTGTCATATTTGAGATCAATGATCTTCGCTGTGCCCTTTATTACATGGCAGATAGGAAGATTGTCTTTATTCTAACAACTGGCACTGATGTTCCACACTGCAGACATATTACATTGTATTTATAGAACAGGTTTATAATCTAAGGGATGGATTCACAAAGGTACAAAAAGTATAAAAGAAGACCCAGCGAAATTGCTTGTTTTCATGTGGGTCCAGCAGTGTCCGCTGCTTTCATTTGAAAATTATCCTTTTGAAAATATTTAAATATAATACACACATGCAGAACATTAACATGTGTTTGTGAGCTTCACGTATGAAGATCAGGACATAGGTTTTCATCAGACGCAATTTATTTCGGTCGACTCTGACGTCAAGAGAATACACGTTTCATTCAACAAGCAAGAAGTAAGTTATTTATAACCCGCAGCATCTCCAGGTTGTGATCCTTGAGTGCGCAGTGAAAGGAATACTCCCCATTGGACTGATGTAGTGAGCCTGGATCACAAAAGCCACAGCGCTCATGTGCTATGGTGCCACAGAGGGACGGCGCCCTGACACCTAAACCAGGACGCGTACTGTAGATAGAAACATTCGCATCTATAACAATAGGGATTTTGCGAAATACTGCAACAAACTTTCTCTTTTGAATAATTGATTTCCCACGATTTTTTCCCTCTTACATGAGAAAGCAATGGGTACTTTGAGCATGGAAAACCTCTCCTCTGAACAGGTAAGACAATTAGCAAAGCAACTTTATGTTTGGTTAATTATCGAACTACAACATAATGAAAACGAGGCTTCATTAATTCAACTTCAAATGTCGTTATCTTGCGTCGGTGCTTTCTTCGGTGCTTCTTAGAGGAGGACGGTAAACAAAAAAGATGAACCTTTTCATTACTTAAAATACAATACGATGTGTGTACAATGTTATATTATGTGATTTCATATTTACATAAGGAAACAATTTCAAATGCAGAATTTAACGGACGAACAGACGACCAACAAATTGTGTAATGGAGCGCGTTTCTGTCGCCAAGTTCTCCAAAATGATAACCATGGACAGCGACTCTTACGGCTCACATGGTGCCGATATTTGATTTCGCCTCTACATGCAGATTTTTCTCCCTATATTAATTGTATACATTGAAAACCACCTAATAGTTGGTTATGCAGTCTAATAGGCATTTTTGCAAACAAGGCTGGTGCTTTTGCGCACTTGAGGTTGATTAATTAATCGTCGCTTTTATAAATATGAAAACACAAACAATCTCCTGTCTCGACGAAGATAACAATATAAACTTTGATATTTAACATCAACATATCATGATCATCAATCGGTATTTGTTTTTGTGAATCTAACAGGTGCTGCTACCATGGTGTCTCCAGCATTGGCATGATTTTTGGCCATGATTAATTTCACCTTTGTAAAAATATATCTTTTGCACATTACCATCGTCTAAATTATTATGTAAAAAATATATTTCCTATATCGAAAACATGTGACAGTAAGTTATATTACAACCCTTGTGTTATAACTGACTGCCACCTGCTGGTAGTGATTATTTAGCAACAACATTAGAGAAACAAAAAATATAAGCCTCAATTTTAAAAGATCTTTGTATGCTGAACTTCTTTGTTGATTTCTTCAAAGGTTTGTGAGCTGTAAGTACAACATTGAGAAGACCTTTGATTGACTGGGAGATGGCAGATATACTCGAGCTGCGGACAGATGGAAACTCTCTCCTGAAGGCGGTATGGCTCAGGCGCTTGCGACTAACTAGGCTCCTGTTGGAAGGAGGTGCATACATCAACGAGAGCAATGAACGTGGAGAGACGCCCCTCATGGTGGCCTGCATGTCCACACACAGTGACCAGCAGAGTGTGAGCAAGTCAAAGCTTCTGAAATATCTGCTGGACAACCAGGCAGACCCCAACATACAGGACAAAGCTGGCAGGACGGCTCTAATGCATGCCTGCATCAACAAAGCCGGGCATGAGGTGGTGGACCACCTGCTGAGCAATGGAGCTGATCCCAGTCTGGAGGACAGGAGCAAGGCCTCAGCGCTGGTCTATGCTATCAACGCAGGTGACAAGGCAACACTAAAGCTGCTCTTGGATGCATGCAAAGCTAAAGGCAAGGAGGTCATCATAATCACCACAGACAAATCCCCGTCTGGCACTCAAACTACCAAGCAGTACCTAAATGTCCCCCCATCACCAGAGCTGGATGAGAGGTCCTCCCTAGAGTACTGCACCTCTCCGTCTGACATTAATGTCACTGCATCTCCCACACCTGAGCAGGAGCAACAAAACACAGTCTTCAGTTTCCAAACCAAGTTAAAAACCTCTAGTTCTGCTTCAAAGCTAGCCAACGGGCCCACGTCTCCAACACGCCGGACTGCAAATCCCAAGCGTGCACGTTTGCCTCAGCTGAAGAGGCTGCAGTCAGAGCCTTGGGGGCTGATCGCTCCCTCAGTCCTGGCCGCAGCAGCCGCCGCCCAAGAGGAGAGCAAGAAAGCCAGCACTGATGAGGATGTTGTCGCAGGGGTGAACGGACTCTCTCTTAGTAAGAGGTCAGTTTTATCTCGACAGAGCAGTGTGGATGGGAAGGACAGCTTGTTCCCGCTGGTGGGCGAACAACCCTGCAAAATGACAACCTCGATATCAGTTCCTCCAACGTCCAAAGTATCATATGAGAGATCTGTAGGCCAGCACCAGCTGCTGGCCCGGCGCAGTACTGTGCCCACAGAGGAGAGCAGCAGCTGCAGCAGTCTGAGAGACACAATGCATATAAGACATCTGGGGAACGACCACTATGACTCAGACTCACAGCTCTACTCAGGCTCTGCCATGTTAGACTCTCCGAAGATCCCAGGGGATCGAAGGAAACTAAACACTTCTCCACTAGCGATTCTGACCAGCTCCAGGGAATCTCTAGAGAGCAACACCAGCCCGTCCTCCCCAAGCGCAGCACGCAGGCGGGTACCTGGCTTCCTGGAGAGGAGAGGCTCAGGCACTCTGCTGCTGGACCACATCTCCCACACCAGGCCCGGACAACTGCCCCCTCTCAACATCAACCCCAACCCTCCCATTCCTGACATTGGGGCGAGTAGCAAGCCCTCCTCACCTCTGGCCACAGGGATTAGATCTATAGCTCCAGTAGCACCAAACACACCAAAGAGAGGCGGCCTCAAGTCCAAGAAGAAACTTGTGAGGAGGCACTCTATGCAAGTGGAGCAGATGAAGCAACTTTCTGATTTTGATGAGCAGGCTCATTAGTTAGTAGTGGTGTTAATGCAGCGCATATTGTTGTTGTAGAAATGTGAACACCATAAATTGTCAGGATGTACATCCATATGTTCAGCTGTGTAGACTCACAGCCATCTAGATGTTGAATAATGTATAATTTATTTAGTATATATACATACATATATATTGAAACTGAGCAATATAGATAGACTTCCTCCCTGTGTTAAACCCAACCTGAAGGAATATTATCTTTTGACACAGCATCTGCTGTATATGTATTACAGTTTTGAATGTAAATGCCAAGTAACGGTACTATTCCTCTGAACTAGCTCTCTTACAGAATAATGTACTGCGTAGGGAACATACAGGGTCCACTTGTAGCCAGCAGGCCACTTGGGTGCAAATTGTGCATATGTAATTAGCACCATTAATGGGCTTTCTTTTTAAAAGAAAATTGTGATGCACTTGTCTGAGATGTAGCTTTGAGTAAGATGAAATGTGACTGTTTGTAGCAAATTTGTAAAAAGTGCCTTTCAGATAAATAAACCTAAAAAAAAGAAATGGACATATACATTTAATGTATTAGGAGCATTTTTAATTCATGATGATGTAACCAAAATGTGTTTTATTTCAATATTGTTGGTCTCATATGGAACACTACAAAGAATATACGTGATGTGTATGAATGAAAAACATGCCTTAAGAAACAGGTACAACCATGGGCTATGTATAACAGCACTTTATTGCCCAGGAGAAAAAAGGTTGCTATTAACAGTGTTACAAACCTTCAAGTATACGTAATCCTTATATGATTAAATCAAGTAACATTAAATGACATTCAACCCCTCAGTCAACACAGACATTGTTGAATTTTGTCACTTTAAATGTCATTTCACGCTAATGGCAATCAAAACTAAAGATCATACAGCTTCCATGTTACTTAACTGTGAAGCATTGCTTCTGTTTAACTGAAATCCATAGTATTTTTGCAAGTAGTTTGTTGAATATTCTGAATAAATGTCTATCTCTTGTGAATGCTGTCTGTTTACTTATTTGTCACGTTAAGTAGGAGCTCAGCTGATAGTGGCCACACAGACGCTCATTAGAGAGAGCATCAGTCCGTCCTCAGGCCACTCGTTAGTCCTTTGGTACTATGAAGATGATGATGATGATGAGCATCATCGATGTCACCGTGATTATGTCCGGCTAACCATAGCCGCACTCAGATCCCACAGCTTCTTGGCAGCTTCATCATCCAGGCCCTGGGGGGCGGCGGTTTTAGGGGCGCAGTCGCTGTAATCAGTGAACAATTCACTGTTAGACATGTGACTTAGTCCATTTCCACAATGCTGATTTACTCACAAGTAAGAATGCTCATGATGAATAATAATTGGTTTGTGGTAATTTGATTTATGGTTATTTAGTTTGGTATTATTCACTGACTTGATAATGGCCTTTAGTTGAGTCCTGTTTTTTGACCGATTTTGGGTCCTTTTGTATACAACAATTATAATTTAAAATGACAACTGTGATGTAGTTGAAAGTGGTCACTAATTATGACCCGCCACTGCAGCCCCCACTCAGCTCTATGGATCATTTTAATCTATTTTAAATCAATCTCTTTTCTGCAGCAGGCAGATATTTTCGGTAAAAAAGCTCTGATAAGCACACTGTATTATACCTGGCCATCAACAAAAGCCAGATATTTCCCTCATGACTCAGTTGGAGAGCAAAAAAGAGCGTCAATTATCGGGCGGCAAGGAACATGAAACCCAAATGAATACAATTTTGTCTGTTTGATAAATAGATAATTGTTTGCTAGCACATTGGGCCCATCACTTATTTGCCAGTGTATCTTATAAAATAGAAGATAGCTGTAGCAGAAGACAACCACGACTGCATTTCCTATGTTGATTCAGAGTGTATTATGCAGACATAAGCCAAAAGAATAGTTAATGACCCAACCTATGTTATAAACTTGGAGTATTAGCTACTGCTGTCGATGTCTCCTTTGTATGTTAAGTGTTAAAAATACTCTGTAGAACAATGAAGTTCCCCTTGAATCTTGTATTGAACGTGGCTGTCTCACTTCTAATAATGAAGCTACTGATTCACAATGACTGACCTGTAGAAGAGTCCACTTTCATTCTGCAGGCTTTCCTCCACAGCGCAGTAGATGGTGGTCTGAGCGCCTTCTGTTGGAGACTTGATGAGGAACATGAATGGTGTGAATAGAACTTTCTTCCACAGGGGCATTTCGGGCCACATGTGTCGGCCGAGATCTGTATGGATGACCCCAGGGTGCAGGCTGTAACTCGTTACTCCGGTCCCTGCAAAATGATAAGACGTGTCATTCACACAATCTAGGAGTCTATTAAAAACTGCATAATGTTTGGTGTACATTTAATGTAATGTTAATACCTTTCAAATTGTTAGCCAGCTCCCTTGTAAAGAGGACATTAGCTAGTTTACTTTGAGTATAGCTTTTCCAAGGGTGGTATTTCTTCTCCAGATTTATGTCATCAAAATAGATTTGACCTGTTGAGCGAAAGCAGTATTCACAGAGGAATAATTTAATATAAAATATTAATGAAGGGACAACATTTGTGAGAGAATAAAAGTCTCTCTACATCTCTTGAAGTGAACTAAAAGAAGAGAAAAGTGGCACCTTTTTCATGAGCTAAACTGGAGACATTGACAATGCGACTTGGGGACGACTTCTCCAGGAGATCCAACAGGCAGTTTGTTAAAAGGAAGTGGCCCAGGTGGTTCACACCAAACTGCATTTCAAAGCCATCTTCAGTCTTCCATTCTGGGCAGCTCATAATACCTAAAAAAAAAAAAAAATGGAAGACAGATGTGCAAATGTGTTATATCACACCATCAGAGGTGAGAAGTGATTTATATCTACCTGCATTATTGATGAGTACATCCAGCCTTTCTTCATTATCTAGAACGTCTTTGGCTAGTTGTCGCACCGACTCCAGAGACGCCAAGTCCAACTTTCTAACAACAACTTGGTCGTTTCCACTCCTCTTCATCACCTCTGCTGCAGCTTTATTGGCTCTGTCCATGTCTCTGCAGGCCAGAATGACTCTTGCGCCTGCAATGCAGCAGCAAATCTTGTTAGTTTTCAAATGAAATGAAATGCTTAAATGCGACAACATAAAAACTGGATAAGCCACAAACCCCTTCTAGCCAGGTCTACAGCGGTTTCTTTGCCAATCCCAGTGTTGCCTCCGGTGATAAGGACGGTCTTTCCTTCCAGTGAGGCTTTACTGCGACAAACTCTACCTGCCATCCATTTCTTCACACCAAAGAGTCCTACTCCTGTTGGAAAAGTTAGTTAAAATACGTCTCCATCATTGACAACTGACACTTCACTGATCTGCAGTTATATTTATATATTCGCATATAAAAAAAGTTTTAAATAAAAAAATACTGGCACATATTTTGTCAATCAGTTAATGGTTTTCAAGCAAATATGCTAAAAATTGGCTCGAGAAAATGATTGAAGACACAATAATATACTGTTTTTTTATCACAGTAAATAGGGTTTCATCAGGAATGTCTTGTATGTACCTTAATTGCTGTAAAATAGGCTCAATATATATGTCTATTCATACATCCCTTTATTATTATCATAGCTCCCATCAGGGGACCATTTAGACAACAATAGAGGCAATAATCCATCATTCATTTGTATAACTAAAATGAAGGCTCACACCATTTACTCAAACCATGGGTTAGTAAATATGTAATGATTTTGTAGCTGTGGTCCTATGCAGCAATTACAGAACAACAGAGCAAACATTGGGACTTGTCAAACCATTTTCAAAAGCTATTTTAAATAGCGACACTTTTAGCATTATAAACTTGTTGCAAAACACGTCAGTTCTCTAAGCATGCAATCACATGTATTTTCATGAATTCAACCAGTAAACACTTTCAGTTTTTGCAGGACCACCGTCTCTCAACTGAATCATTAAAGACTGCACTGTATATTATCAGGCATAAGCACCGTAAAGTGTACACACTAGACTCACTAAAGATGTTAGTTGTTGTTTCTTCCGAAAAAGTATTACCTGTTACTGTGATCACAGCAATAGTTTTAGGATACTGGAAAACAAACAATTGTATCGCTGTAAAGTTCTGCATTGTCGTGTTAATCCTGACCCTGTTATACACGTAAATTAAACCGTCTCCAATGTATTTCAGTTAAAACACGGTCCCTTTTGAATGAGCTACAAAAGTCGGAAACAAGGGTGTCACTACCCGATCTGCAGCTCTGCCCGATCTGCAGTGCGCATGTGCGAGATGGTCCGCCATATTGGACAACTCCGGACGGCAACCCAAGTAGGACAACATTGACACAGTGGCATTTGGCAAAACTCAAAAGGAAAACTCGAGAGAGATGAGTTATTGTTATTACAACGTGACTTCACTATTATTTAACAACTCTTTTTATTGGGTTCTTTTATTTGGGGTTAAGTACATTGTCAGAATAAGTGAGAAATGAATTTAACTTCTGTTAGACAGCTATCATACTGAACACATATTTACTGTGAATGTGTGCAAAAATGTATGGCATATAGCTGTCAAACAGAAGTTAAATCCATTTCTCACTTATTCTGACAATGTACTTAACCCCAAATAAAAGAACCCAATCAAAAGAGTTGTTAAATAATAGTGAAGTCACGTTGTAATAACAATAACTCATCTCTCTCGAGTTTTCCTTTTGAGTTTTGCCAAAAGCCACTGTGTCAATGTTGTCCTACTTGGGTTGCCGTCCGGAGTTGTCCAATATGGCGGACCATCTCGCACATGCGCACTGCAGATCGGGCAGAGCTGCAGGTAGTGACAGATGGAAACATTTGTGCAGATAAACAGCTACATAACAATAGAGGCTTCTCAATACTCAAATTTCCCCTCCTCGACTGCTCGACTCCTCGGTCCTCCGGCAGTGACCCGGAAATGAATTTCAGCGCGCCATTTTGAAGGACGTCTCATTTCTCTAAATGCACACCGAGGACCGAGCATCGAGCGTCGAGGAGGCTCTCTGGAGGAGCTATAACTGAGGATACACTGATGGTTCCTCCACGGCTCCTCCACGGATGCATTTCCGGGAACGGTGGAGGCGTGACGCACGGCCGGACTTATCTCAGCCAATGACAGCTCTGCATGCATCCCCTGGATATTATTTTAGAAACTGCTTTCATCGCGTCGCGATGTAGTAGTAGTAGTAGTATTAGTAGTATTTGTTTATTAGTCCCCAAGGGGAAATGTTTCCTGAGAGAACAGCTGTAAGGTCCATGCAGAAAGCAGAGCAGTGTGTATAATATATATCACTCAGTATAACAGGCCTACTCTCTTTATTTGCTTTAGTTTAGTAGATATCTACAAACAAAGAGTCGATATTTTTCTAAGACCATTGCTTCACATAATAAAATACACAACGGCTTATGCTTTAGGAGCTGTAGGTGTGTGTGGTACAGTGTGTAGGTGTGTGTTGTACAGTGCGTAAATGCGGCGGACAGACGGGTCTCAGTTGGTTTGGTGTCCTCTGCTTACTTTTAATAGGCCTACTTGTAAATACAACTTTTGGCCCGTAATTTCAATTCCCCATTTCAGCGACCAGAGAGGGGGGGGGATATATCCAGTCTCTGATTGTGTTACGTTATTATGAGAGTGCACTCATACTTTAAATTGTATATATTTATATAAATATATTTGTGTGTGTGTCCGCATCTGTAGCCTGTTATTGTCTCATTATACCGCACTCTCAATTAATTCAAAGTAAATATGTGGGGGAACAATGTTCAGCTGATCTAACAGAGATACAGCACTATGACAAAACACTCGACAGCTGATGCAGCTGTTGCCACGTAATAATGAACGGACGTCTCTTTAAAATGACCGCTCAGAGGAGAGGAGTTCTCATTTCTTTAAACGTCTGCTGCTTCCCCTCCTCGGTCCTCCGCTCGCATCTCCTGTGGGCGGGTCTAAGTCTCGAGGAGGGGAACCGAGGAGGGGAG